AAGGGACGTAGATAGTCTTGCTGATATAAATTAGGTTTTCAGTGCTTTTATTAAAATCGTGTTCAGTACTGTGAATTATCTGTGTAACATACTGCAACACTGTAAGTTTTGATTTTAAAATTTAATTGCAGGAATGTGGACGTAATAATGTTTACCCACACTTTTCATGGAGAAGTTATTTACTATTGCCAAAAAATTAGTATGTAAGAGATTTATAAAATGTAAATAGTGTGTTCTCTGAGGAAACCGATATTTATTTTTCTGTTTCATTGGCTCACACTTTCTGAAAGAAAGAAAAAACCATTTCGTATGACCACATGCAGTCTGTTGTGGCATCTGGCTGTGACTGGGGACTGAATGGTGACTTCTGTATTAATTATTACATTTTAATTATATATAAAATATATGTGTTAACTAAATTATATGGTAGTTTGACTTATGAAGGTTATTTTAAGGTTATAGCCACATTATTTAGCAGCACGATAAACTCTTTAGTAAAATATTTGTATTATGTCATGTTTTGGTATTTCCGAAGTAAAACGATGTTTTGATCCTTTAAAAAAGAAAATTGTAATTTCATTATCTGTAATTATTTTCAGGAACAAGATATGTATATGTCCTGTTTTAGCAGTTGTGTGTTTGACATCGTTTAATATTGAATAGACCTTGTAGAAGACGCTATTTATTACGAAGAATCGATATTGTTTGTTTTCATTATATGTTGTTCTTTATTTTTATTTCGAAACTTCTTGGTACTAAGTATAAAAGTTACACAATATCTTAAAATGATAAGATAATTTTAATAATGTTAATAAATGCTATATAAAGTAGAGATAGCAGTATACAGTGACTCGCAGATGGCAGAAATGTTTAGTCCTTTTCTAATGTGAGTGTTGTTAGTGATTGCCAGTTAAATTTCTTGTAGATGTACAAGAAATTTCTTGGAGAAACATAAATACTAAAATATTATAACAATTTTTTTTGTACTAGATATTATCTTTCAGGATAGTGCCAATCGCTTTGTAGAATACCAAACACTGAATTTAAAACTGTACCTTTTAAATTTACTGCTTTTTTCCAAGTAAAGTGGATGATCCTATAATATTTCTTCCCTTCCGTTAAGTCCGAAGATCGAGTCTTCAAAAATGTTTCCGCAAAAATTATTTTCACGTTACTGATAGATATTTTACATTCAAATGTAAATAAATCTGGTAATTTAGGCCCTTGGTTGTTGATCTTCTGGGTTGTAATGCCGTGTGAACATGCAGTGTTTTTTTCTCCAAGACATTATTATTTCATCCATTGGCACATGGCATTACGAACTAGAAGGCCAAGTTCAAATCTCACCTGGCCCCTTTGTGATTTACATAAAAATTGCGTAATTTATATTAAATGTGACACATTTGAAAATTATTAAAAAAATTACATTGTCTTTAGTTGTAATATTTAAATCATATAATTTGATGAAAGGAAACAAAACAGTCTTGAAATAATTAATTATAAGTATTTATATGCATATAAATCATGTTTTGTATATATTATATCCCAATGCACTTAGACGATACAAGAATCCTCGAATATTATAAATGTAATTATAGAAATACAGTTTATAATGTAATTATTGTTACTTATATATCAGAGAAAATCTGACAATTGCTGACAACTCCATTTTGCAGAATTAGGGCTGTCCAATTTCTCTCTCTTTATTGTTGACTTTTCAGAATATTACTAATAATATGTTACATGTTCCTGTTTTAAGAAATAATTGTATATAGTGTACATAGGAATTTTAGCAATGCAGATTTGTAACTTATTGATTGTTGAATCGAAAATCTTTTAAGAATATAATTAATATAAGTCGATGAGAGTTATTACAATTTGTCTTTATTCACGATTCATAATATAGACCTAAATGATTCCTGCGCGCAACATGTCGTAATAGACACATTAGAATTTTGTCGTACTAACAAATTTAATTATCTTATATATAAAATTTAAATTTTGGTTTTGTACGTATGTTTGCTTATATTTGAAGAATGGATAAACCGATTTGCACCAAACATAGCACGAGACCAAGAAGAGATTTTAGAATGTCAAATCTCTGGGGGAAACGTCCTGAGTTTGAGTCCCAGTGACGGTAGCTCAGACATTAAGTGTGATAGTGCAAAGACCACAGCTGTTTTCAAAGAGGAGATTATATAAATAAAGGCAAGGACTACGAAAATCTGTTTGAGCCCTGGCAAAGATGTTTCTGTAGCTCAGCACAACGAAAGAGTGACCCCAAGACTAAATCTGTTTGTTTCAGTCAGGATTACAGGAATCCGCCAAAACTGTCCTGGGTTCAAGCCCTGGTGAAGATGTTTAATGCAGTTTGGACACTGATGATGGTAGAATAAAACAGATAAGTATCACATTGTTTTTGTTTAGGAGATTTTGCAAAAAATGTTACGGGTTTTAGTTACTATAAATGTTTTTGGATTTAGAGAACACGTTTTCTTCTCAGTGATAGGTCAGTGTGTTGGATGATGGAGACAATGAAAAGCTATGAGGCAAGATGATAAGAAAATGTTAACGTCTCTCAAACTTCGTTGTAGTAACACTGCAGGCAATCTGGTTTTGAAATATAAGACAAGGTAATTTTTCTTGCGAAAGATCAATTACTGAATAATTAAATTCAACCAGTTTTTCCACTGCGATGAGTACTCATCGCGTTGATGATGCAGGCAGCAGGGATCTTTTGTAACGCTGGTAAACTTCCACAAGGTTACATGGCGCTAAAACCCAGAAGACAGTCATCTTCGTACGCCGCGAGAACTCCAAATCCTATTTAATGGAAACAGCTGTTCAACCGGACTTGTGTTTCCGGTGGAGACAAAGATTTTCTCGTACATCGTCACATCTGGACCTGCACTGGGAAATTTCCAGGGGCCAATTTCACGTGAACCCACACGAACACAGGAAAGACTTAGTAGAATTGTGGGGTCTTATTAGGAGTTCCTTTTATTACGCGTAATAAATAAACATTTCTACCACGAGTCTAACATTGGTAATAAATCGGACATACCACGATTAAAGAAACCTTGTAATACAACGCGGTAAATATGTGTCATTTGCTTCAGTAATTAAATCTGTTAGAATAGCCTTCCTTGGGTCAATGTTTGAACCCGGGACCTCCAAAATACGAAGCAAGAGTGCTAACCATTCCCTACAATGTTCTATATATATATAAAGGGTTATTCGGTATTGTCTTTTATAATTTTGAGAATATTTTATGGCCATAAGAAGTAAAAGAATGCAAATACACGTTTCGGAAACTATTTTCTTTTTCTCAGTTTATCCAGTACGTAATGAGAGATACCGGATTGTAAATTTCTTGGTCAGTATGGTACTTGTCATTGGTGAATGTATTCCGGTCATCTCATATTTATTATGGTTTCGGATGCTGGTAAGTTCCTTACCTACGGGGAAGGAAAAAATACGTGTGATCTGGGATGATTTGTATCTCAGTTTGGATGTTGAAATAAAGGTGAGTGTTTCTGTGTAAAACCCTGACAAATTTAAATATAAACACGAATTTTCAGGTATGTATATTCGTGAAGAGCCCAGAAATTCAGCTGATTGCAGGTTAGATTGTAATATATTATGAAAGATTCCCCAGTTGTGAATTAGTACATTTGTATGTATTTCCTTCTCAAATTATCTTTTATTCACCTTTCTTTTCATGTATTACTACGTCACAGGAGACGTCACGCTGGTTTACGACTCACGTGGTTACGATGATGCAATAGTAATTATTTTTGTTAAACAATTATTCAGTTCTCATGGTTATTAATGTACAACTGTGGTTTTTATACCCGAATAAGTTTATTTGCATAGTTGAGTAATTCCCTAAAAATATCTACGTAATAAACGCCCGCATTTGACTACCTAAAACAGGAATACAGCTACATGAAAGGTGGATATATTTATGCACGGTCTGTACGGATAAAGAATTTTGCAACACATATCAATCGTAATGAGTTGTAAATTAAATCAGAATCGTTTCCGGCTTAATAGGTATTTGCATTTTGAAATCTTTCATGATCGTGTAACATATCCTCAAATTTATGAAAGGAAATCAACTTGTATATTTTTATTACATTCATACAAATTGGATGAAGTATTCAGGGTCTGAATGACGCTACATAAATACGAAAACATGTACGAAAATTAACAAAAAATAAATAAAGTCCTTTTGAAGTATTCAGTTGTTTATTGTACAAGATACATTTTACAATAATCCGTCTAAAATACGTTTTATTATAACCTGTTAATTTTGTTAAGGAAACATGTTTCGGTGCTTACATTGCCATCTTCAGGACTTCTTATGAACCCGTCAATTACATGCAGAATTAGATGCAGATTATAGACGCCAGATGTCTATGACTACAAAACAAATCCCCATAGCATACAAATTTATTATAATAAAAGTTCATGTACACTTGTTATTGTAAAAAATGTCGAAACATGGCAGAGTATACGAGCGATCTGTTCTTAAACCGCCTTCTTCTCAAGTTTCAGAACAATACTGAGTAAAATGAAGTGTCGTTTAATGTCTACTCAGGAAAAAAAGGTTAGAACGAACTCCCGGTCAAATATAAAAATTCCAATCATTCCTCTGTACACTCAGTTTAAAGAATTATCACAGTTTATACACGTGGTTCAGAGCATATCTTCCTGTCACAATAAAAACCTGATATGGCCATAATAATTTAGAATGAGTCGCGTTCAGTAACTTACGTCTTATGAGTGTAATGTTTAAGAGCATTCAATATCACGTTCGTAAAGGTTTTAAAGTTACATTTTTAGGGAAAAACTTCCCTTTCAGTTTCTGTGCATGTCATATTTTAAGAGCACTGAACCACACGTCAAAGTTGGTACGAGTTGATTCAAGGTGCGTGCAGTATCGATCTAAAGACTTTCCAGCACAACAGAAAGATACGTGGTAAGGTAAGGGCTGTTTAATTTGCGTTATGTACGTTTTAGATTCATATTTTGTGTATTATTAAGCAGTTAGGAAATAAGACTTTAGAGAAGTTGTCTTTATAAATAATAATTTAGAGATTTATTCATAAATCAGGTGATATTGTAAGTTGTAAAAGTGTGTATGTGTTTAATGATTGTTTTATACATATCGTACATATTTGTAGTTTCGTGATATATTGAATTATTTATTATAG